AGAACTTCTCACTCAGGAGCCTATGCTGATGGTAACCGATTTACCGTTCCTGAGACTAACAGTTCAGTCTGGACAGAACTCAAGTCAACAGGTCTTGCCCACCCGTTTATAACAATGGCGTTTTCACGAATCAGAATTTCAGATTGAAGCTGATGAAAACAAGAAATCAATACCTTTGCATCCTATTGTTTCAGTGTTCTAGTGGGTTGGCTAAATTGGCCAATTAGAATAATACAATGCAAATTTCCTGTTGATATAAAAGTCTTTTTTAAACAGCTTCCGTTTATGCTAAAGAATAAAAATAGTGAAAAGAAAATTTTCAAACTATGTAATGAAGACTTTTGAAGAGCCTTACATTCCTTCCTTCTTATTATTAGTTTTGTGACCATATGACAGACACTGTGATCTAAGTCCGAAATCCATTATACCACATTCCGTAAATGTAGGCATATAAAGTATTCTGTCATCTGTATTCATTTCAAACTGCATTCAGTATCTTGGTTCCCAAGCGCATCGGATTTTATTAAAAGCATTCTGCTGTAACATCCATTCTTCCTAATTGGTTTACAGATTGCCCCTACCATTCAGGCAAACCTTAATTGCATTTTCCCACAAATCTCGTTTGATTTATGGTCTCTTGTTTGCTTTCTATTATTTATAATAAATTGAGGCAAAATTCTTAAAACATGAAATAAAATTTATAATGTTTTCTCTTCTACAAGTATGGAACTTACCTAAGGAGTTTCAGGTCATTTTGCTTGTTTTAAAAGTTGTTTAGACAAGCTACATCCATCTGTGTGGTTTCCAATAATAAGATCTTTATTACCATCCCAGAATTAATTATATTTCACTTGATTTTTTTATGTACAGATTTTTAGGATTATATGGAATAAATTATGTATAGAATATCAAAATGGTATGTCTTTCTGTAAAGCTTAGGTGGATATACATGTCATAAGTATCTGGAACAGAAAAAGTATTATTTTGGCTGTAGTGACAAAGCATCTGCATAAAATTCGGTGCCACTCAGTGCCACTGATGCACCGAGAGAGCTGATTGAGAACATTCTAGCTTCTGTTACAAGTTCTGGCTTTTGAGATGCCAAGAGTTAATTTAGAATGGATCTATAGCAGATCCCAAAAAGTATAAAGTGTTTAAAAATAAGTAAATAGCAGAAATATAAAGACAGAGGATACCAGAGACTCAAGAAGAGAATTTCTCACTGTCAAGTGATTACATATCACCATGGATTATGTTGTAAAGTTCTCTTCTAAATAAAGACTTTCCCTGGAAGTGCAGGCATGGAATCATTTCTGTAGGGTACATGAAAATTTATTGAAAGGAAGAAGTATAAGTTATCTATATCAATTTATAAAAAGCCTTCTAAGCTTTGTTAGAAATGTGTCCATTCCTTCAAAAGTTTGAACACTAAGAATTTTGAGCTGAGAATCAGAAAGATTGGAGTATATTCAGTATAAGAGACAAAAAGAAAAGAGAACTTGATTTTTAAAGAAATGCAAAGACCAAAGGGGGAAAGATGGATGATCTCAACAAATTTTAGACCAACTCAGTAAGTTCGAGGCTTACTATCAGCAGTAAAAATAACTATGTGATGTCTAGAAAAACTCAAAAAGGATGGTTAGTGGATGATTAGCAAGCAGAATATCTAAATAATGGTTGCAGTTGAGTCTTTAAAATGGGGCATTGGAACTTTCTTCTTCACTAGAATGGTAAAGAGGCCCCAACATCTGCAGTGCCAGTGGAGACCTCACCAGGAGCTTGGGCTTGTTCCCCACTTAGTGACAAAAGAGTTGCCTCCTTCCCATTGGAGTTAAGTCAGAGGACTGCCTAGAGAGTCAGGAATTTCACCACTGTTCAGGGGAATGAGGCCACACCATTTATGATGTCAGTGTGGACAATGGGGGAGCAGTAATGAGTCACTCCTGCCTCTTCCAGCCAGGAGGTTATCAGTGGAGGCCTAGTGGGTTCTGGAATCTCCATCCCCAGCCAGTATTAATGAGGCATTCTTTCCTCTGGGGTCATCCAATATTACTGAAGCATTCCCTCCTCTGAGGGCAGTAGACGCCAAGTAGAGTAATGAGACTTCTACCCCAACTTGGCAGTAATAAGGTAGCACCCTTCCCCCAACCTTTACCAGAGAAATGTCAGAATAAGCAAGCTAAAGCAGAAGCTTTAAGATCTCATAATATAATGTATCGAACATCCGGGTTTCACAAGAAAATCAATGATGACACCAATAATCAGGAAGATCTCAGAGTGAATGTAAAAATATAATCAACAGGTGCCAACAACAAGATAACAGAAATGTTAGAAATGTCTAGGGAAGAATTTTAAATTACTTTCAAAATGCTTTTATGAATATTATGACACACTTGAGACAATGAAAGAGTGGAAAGTCTCAGAAATGAAATAGACAATATAAAGATGAACCAAATAGAAATTGTAGAACTTAAAATATAACTCAAATTAAATAAAAGTGCATTTGGGCTCAACAGCAGAATGCAGGAGGCAGAAAGAAGAATCCACAAACTTGAAGACGGAGCAGTAGAAGTTACCCAATCTGAACGACAGAGAAAATAGGCTGAAAAAAAAAGTTTCAGGGATCTGTGGTATCATAACAGAAGATCTAACATTAATGTCATTGGAGTCTACAAGGAGAGGAGAAAGAAGGCAGGCCAAAGAAGTACTCAAAGAAATAATGACTGAAAACTTTCTAAATTTGGCAAGAGACATGAACCTACAGATTCACAAAGTTGAACAAACTTCAAACACGATAAAAAGCAAAGAAATGCATGCAAAGGCACATCATAATTAAACTTCTGAAGATTAAAGATGAGAAAAATCTTCACATAAATAAAAAAAAGTGGCACCTTATCAATAAGGGAAAGCAATGTGAATGAGAGTGGATTTATCATCCAAAGCTTTGAAGCCTAGAGGGAAGTGGCACACTGTTTTTCAAGTGCTAAAAGAAAGAACCATGAACCTTAAATCCTACATCCAGTTAAAATGTGGTTTTGGAAATGCAGAAGAATCAATAAAATTGGCCAACTTCTAGTAATACAGACAAAGGAAAAAGTGAAGACACAAATTACCAAATATCAGAAATGAATAATGGATATCATGAGAGACCCTCCAGACATCAGAAGGATAATACAGAAAAACCACAAGCAATTCTACACTTGTAAGTTTGACAACTTAAATAAAACGGACCAATTCCTCAGAAAATACATGTTACTGCAAGTCATGCAATAGGAAGCAGATTATTTGAGTAGCTCTGTAACTTTAAAGGCTATTATATTACAATTTGTAATAGAAAACTCCATATCAAAAGGTGACAGAATAAGAATCACAGAAACCTACTGATTGATGCAGAAAAAAATTGAAAAACTAACTAAAATAACTAAAAAAAATAACTTTTTGGCAACATAAAAATTTGTCAATCATTTATCAATTCCCAAAAATGTGATTCAAGATTTACTCCTCCAGGAGTTTCAAAAGTCCAGGAATCACAGCTCTACAGTTTCCATGACAGTAATATAGTTAAAATTGTTCTTTTTATATAGCCTCCAGCTCAAAGAGCTGAATAAAATTGTTGTTAAATACATGTGGTTATTTAACAATTGAATGAATTTGACTGAAAATGGTGGCTATTAATTCTAATTCCAGAACAAATTCCTAATCTTCAATAAGTGAAAGGAAATCTTCCTTCCTACTGGTAATGCCCAATGCTGCCTCAATTACTCATATAATCATATACTGGGAGTAATGTGCTATGTAGTGGAGTAAATTCTAAACTCTAATAAACGTGTGTTACCTCACTCTTCAACTCCACTTCAGCATTTACTCATTGTAATAAGGTATGTCTTAATACCACACTTAATTTCAAATATAATCCTTTTATATATGTATTAGATACAATGTATTTTTCATATCTAATGTGTATTATATATTTATTGTATGTTATTTAGATATGTTAATATATTCATCAAAATTGGAGTTTTTAACAAAATATTACAAATTAACATATAAAATAACTAAAAAGATTAAGTTATATTATTCTGTCCATAGTATTAGCAAAGTAATCATGAATTTATTAAGCTAATATATAAAATGACTAGTATTTACCTTTTTATAATAAGCAGGGAAAAATAATCATGGTTAGACTATATGTAAGGAACAGAGCAGTACACTCATTTTCTAAGTAGTTTATTTATTACTTTCAATTTTGCAATCTAATGAATTAGGTCCCATGTAAATAATGCAGATTCAGAAGATGTATTCAATGTAAATAACTCTATAGGAAATATTTCTTCTTTAATGAAAATTTCAGTTTTGGAGATGGAAGTTTCTCATCGGTTCTAATTTCTCATCTGTTCTAATGTTACTTTCTTGTGAATTCATGTTACCCAATGTGAATTCATGTTACCAAATACACACATATAATAGACCACCTTTTTTTCTTTCTACACTCATTTATTATTACTTTTATATCGTTTTAGTAGTTTTATTGTTAATATTCATAATATGAGAACATATTCCACTATTTTACATATATATAGAAAGATTGAAATGTTTTAAATTACTTCAGTATTCCATAAAGTATATCAAACCCAAGATTAGAATTTATAAGTATTTGAAATTGTCAAAGTTTTAACATTCTAAGCTCAAGACACTTCTATTAAAATGTTTTTTGTAAACATAGTATCAGTCTTCCCTATAAAGTGATATTTTATGTGACATTTTCTAGGAATGCTTTCTAAAGTAGCTTGAAATAAAGTAGACTTTTAATAGTGATTATAAAATAATTTTCTTCCCCAGGTGTTTGTATTAGCAGATTTCTGTTGTCCCTTATTAGATAATGTGGTTTTATCTTCCAACATATTTATACAAACTGAAGTCTTTTAAAACAGAAAGCCCTTTTATTGTGAATGTTTTTAGTATGTCTTAAAACCTGATCCCTATTTTTTTTTTCAATTAAGGTGAGAGGCCCTCCAACGGCAGGGGCATTTAAAGAAAGACCAACCAAGCCCACAGCATTTCGAAAATTCTATGAGCGAGGTGACTTCCCAATTGCCCTTGAGCATGATTCGAAAGGAAACAAAATCGCCTGGAAGGTAAGTCAGGACACAGCTGTGCCGGCCAGCTGCACTTCCTGGAGCGACATCCCCCAATACCAAACACACTTGACTGCTAAGTAAATAAACTGGAGTCATTTCTCAGCACATGGAAGATGGTGGGAAAGCTCTTAGAGAAAGCCCCCCTGTGTCAGCCATCCACCTTGACTAACAATTAAATTACAGCCTGCAAAGAAGAAAATGACAGAGTTGCTTTGCCTTAGAGAATTGTCTGCTGCCCAATTCATCTCTATTTTTATGAGAACCTGGCAGCCCGGCCTGATCAGGCAGTCCATCAAATGATGGAACTGGCGGCTGGATACAGAGAGCAACAGCCATTTATCTACCCCAAATTTCACCTTCCTGCAGGACACTTCCAAATGGAAGCTTTAATTACCTAAATGGATAGGTCAAGATTGTCTGCTCTCTGGAAATGCAGAGTAGAATACAAAAGCAGGCCGATCCCAATCCTGGCTCTCCTCTCCGTCCCAGCCTGTGTCAGCCCGCGCCATGGCTGTCACACGTGCCCTGTTAGAGGGTGACCTCCACCGCCGAAGCCATTACAGCATAGACATTTTTCTGACAAAAGGTTAATTGGCTTCAAAATAAATGCATTGCCTAATGACTCCATTCCAATGTGGTTGTGTTCCTTTAGAAAAGGCTGACTGATGTTATTTGTAAAAACTTGCCAATCTCTTAACCAGAGAAGGCTTTTACATTTAATTTGAGAAAAATAAATGCTGGTCTCTAACCGGCTCCTGCTATTTAATTATTGTTGTGATCAAAGACTTTGCTTTTGGTGATATTTATCAGCTAAAAGGGCTTCTCTGTCTACAGACAGCAAAGCAGTTGTGCACACTTATGAGTATCACATCAAGTTAAGGACAAGAAAAGGCTTTGGCCAAGTATCAGTTACATTAAGCAATTGACACCTTTAACTTGGAAGTCCAGCAGTCATGGCCAAAAGCAAATCAGGAATCGTTTGTAGTTAGTAACAAATAAATTTATGTTTAAATTTGTTAAACATAAATCAAAGTAAATAGCTTATAGTAATTTACTTTGAGAAATTAAATAGCTTAAAAAGGTGCATTAAAATTAAAATTTTCCTTCCTGTATAGAAACATCGAAAGGATTATTTGCATGATATCTAGTATGTCTTTTAAAATATTTTCATATTTTTATCAAACATTTCTAATTCTTGAGCAGTCATCCGATATCAGTTATCGAACTTAGAATTATTCCAGCTTATGTTACAAGAGGAACTTGGTGGTATCCTTATTAGGAAACCTTATTATAAAATTTTGGGGGGATGGGAAAGAGGTGAGTAACATTATTGTCTCCTTTATGATAGTCTCTGTTAGAGTCTGAATTTGTTATGCGAAAATGTATGTATGATGAGAAAAAATATGTAGCGAGTATAACTAACTTTCATACTTTAGTCTTAATATAAGTATGTATTTCCAAATTTTGTTGGGATTTTTGGATTCGTATATTTGATTGGTTGCATGGATTTTGTGTTTGCCTGTCTATGTACTGGCTCATACAAGATAACACAGTAGAGTGTCTTCAAAACCTGATTCCTGTTGAGTAAAATAATATGTCATAATTCTTTATAAAAAGTGAGTGGCTTTTGGTGTTTTTCAGGTAATTATAACCTACACATAAATTGCATTAATGAAAATAAGTTATATAGATTTATTGCGATTCAAATAATTTTATGAGCAACCTTAGAAGTGTAGAGACTAGAAAAAATCACTTTGAAAATAAATTATTAATAAAAATATGAGATGAATCATTTTCTTTATCTTTGATAATCCAACAGTCAGCAGGGATAGAACATGCTTTTCTTTTTTATGGATATATTAATTCTCTTAAGCTACTATTGATTGTAGTACTGATTCAGCAAGCTAGAAAGTAATAAAAAGAAGAAACAATTTATTTGCTGTCACTGGTAGTATAATAGCATAAATTTAGAAAAACATCTTATTCCAGAAGCTGTGGACTTCTTTTAGAAAGTTGCTACTACATTTTAATTGCATTACTGTATCACTGAAGATAAGACATTCAGATTATTAATCATAGGCTTGGGAACCATCTATCCATAGTTTCATATTTATTTCGTGGCATATTTGAAAAAGCAAGAGACCAAGGCCCCGCACTCCTCTTGTGTGTGGGCAGAGCAGCAGTTTCTGGTCATGCAAACCTCTCCTCTCAGTGTCATAGCTCATCCCTCACTGAGGACTCCTGAGGAGCAGTGCTTCCCTCAGAGGATATGGCCTCTCTCAACTCTCCTCAGACACCCTAGGGACTCCAAGTGGATCTGCGAGCACCTGAAATGAAGTGCATCACTAAGTGAGAAGCATGTCTATTTCTTTATTGGTGTTTCCAGAGCCTATGGCTCTTTAGGACTTAGGAGGCACTGCTCTAAATCCTGGCGCAGGCTGCCCCAGCCTCTCAGGGTCGTTCGGGTCTGTGAAGGTGCTGGTCTGGGGATCCCTCCGCAGGTCCTCAGACTCTTCTTCTACTTGTTCTGGATTAGCTGAGCAGATCTTCACCAGCTTAGGGACCGTCGTATGTTCTTGAAATAACAAAGGTACTCTATGGTAACATCAGAAGGTAGAAGAAAGAGTTAGAAACAGACAGATGTCTTTGCAGGCTTAGGTTTCTCAGCCCACACTCTGCTCTCAGTACCAGTTTCGTGCACACGAAAGTGGTCATTTGTTCCTGATGCCAAAACAACGCGGCAGGCTGCGTGTCATCGTCTCTGTAGCTTCGTCTCTTTCTTGTGGCATCTCTGAAGATTGCAGCAGTGTCTGATCCAACTGTCTGCGGTGGAGGAAACGTTCCACATCTGCACCGTCTAATATGGTACAGCCGGCCATATGTGGTGATTAAGCACTTGAAATGTGCCTACCGAGACTGAGGAACTGAATTTTTAATTTTATTTAATTTTAATTAATTTTAATTTAAATAGCCACATGGTTACCATATTAGACCGTGCAGCTCCAGATTAAGATAATGGCAGTCGAAAATAAATGCCTGGATCTGCTCCCCAGGTGGATAGAAGGCTTTCGCTATGTTAGAATTGTTATTATTAAAGTGAAAACATGGGACTCATCTATGGACTTATTGTCATGGTTTTCTACGCGTATCATAAATTTCTTGGTAAATATGAGAAAAGTTTTGCAAAATGTTTGTAGCGAAAATTTCTCTATACTTATCAATGGCACTTCATGAGCTATGAAAGATGAATAGATCTCATCTCAAAAAGAAATCTACCAGACAATCTTGATTATCAATGGTTGTAGTTATAAAAAAGCTTAAGGAATACTTAAACAAAAAATGTTAATGTGTTTCTTTTGCTACATTTTTCTTGACCCCTCTAACATTTGGGAAATAACGACTGTTGATTGTTTTGCTGTCTTCAATATACCTGAGGCACTGTCGATTTTTAGAAATAACTATCTGGATTGTAAACCATTCATTTATTTTGAAGATGGAAATAGCTACACCTATGCAAAGGTGTCTCTAAAATCTTTCACTTTCTAGGCATTTTGATGTAGTAGATGTTGATACAGGCCGTCTTTCTCCATGATAATGTGCTATATGACAGAATACAACATGCACTAAGAAGGTCTTGTTTTCCACTAAATTTCTAATAACCAGGCATAAGAAGGTCCCAGATATCAGATATATTAGAAGAGGAAATAGATAAACCTATAACCCCCTAGGAAAATCAAGATATAATACCAACCCTTTCACAAATGCAACAAAATCACAACCCTCTCAAATCTGAAAGGGAGAAATGCAAAATGGACTTGTACTTTGTCCAAAATCCCTCCCCAGTTCCCCCACAGCACCCAATCACCCCACACCTGACAATGTCATGGTGGTCCTTGTCCAGAGTAGCGGAGGTGCCAGAGGCTTTTCTGCAGTCTAGCTTTTTCTTCTTTGACATGTAAATGATATTCCATAGCCACCTATATTGAAATGAAATTAATAAAGCCAGAACTGATACACATGAACAGGTATATGTGAGAATGGACTTAGGTGGCCTCTACTCACTACCAAAAGTGTATCTTCCTCACTGGCCTATTAGAGATACATCAAATCTCACCATGGAGGCAAATTTCCCCTTAGGTTCATGTAGTAATTGTACCTGTTGATTAAAATTTAGATCTCCAGACTTTGTTTTGTATTAAAAAATGCCTTCTTAATATTAATCAGATAGCTATAAACACTTAATAAATACTTTTTATAAATAAATGTTGACATAAATGTGTCATTTATATATTTATACCCCACATTATTTCAAAATGGATTTAAATTGTCTTACAAAAAAACTATAAAGTCAGCATAAATAAGAGAGGAGAGAAATGAAAACCATAGGGACCCAAAATGGATCCAGTACCAATGTTAGTAAAAATAGGCCTATCCTGAAATCCTATAAGGCAGAGATCTTTGTCTGTGTTTCTGATTTGTTTACTCACTTTCCTGGTACCTAGAACAGTACTGTCACAGGGCAGGCGCCCAGGGGTATTTATCGGATGAAAGTAAAGCATTCAAGAGTTGATTATTTTTAAGTCTTATTTCTCTTGCTCCATAGGCCTCTCTTTCCTTATCTGTAAGTGACAACAATATGCCAGGTGATTTCTATGGCCCTTTTAAATTAAGAGCATTGAAATAAGTTTTGTTCCATAATTATTAAAATAACAGTATTTTGAGATGTTCATGGATTACTTCAAAGAACAAATATTGAGTACAAATTTGCCACAGAGATCAATTCTTCTGGTAGTAAAATGGAAATAGTAGCAGCAGGACATTTAATTTGAATCCGTAGCCCTTCAGGTTCCAGAGTGATATGCAACGGTCTTGAGGAGGTTGAACTTTTACCACGAGAATGCTCTTTAGGTTATACATGAATGTTTTTCAATGACTACTCATCCCTTAAAGTTTGCTTTCAAAATGACAAGTTCGCTTCCCTTTCTAAAGGACTGAAA